TGCGCCTGAGACAGTTGCCGTTTTACGTGCGCTTCAGGCGTTACCTGATTGCGCCTAGTGCCAGGAGGTCTTGCGACATGGCAGGACTCAGGAGAAGTCTTCCTGGCACCTAGCATTTTTGTATATAGACGATCAGACCTGGCCTGAGGACAGGCACAGGTAGACAGACCAATCCATGACCTATTCACGATCCTGCTAGTTCGACAATAGCTTATCAAGCACATGCGGTATGTCACCGTGATACCGCCACTCTCAAATTCACAGTGGTGGTTTTGGAGCTCGATATGATTCCATAAGGTCCTCTTTGCCGGTGTAATTCGATCCTTCACCTCCGTGTCGTCCGGTTACGTGTCTCAGGCTCCCTTAGTTTCAACCCCTCCAAATCAGAGACGGGTTCATCTCCCCTAGAAATTGTATCCTTGCCCGTTACTTCCCCATACCAAAGCGAGTCAGCTATTGTGGCGGTTGAAATTCCTTTTTCGCTTGTCGCCGGAGTACTAAATAGTTTTTATAAACCTGAGGCTTAGATTGCTGCTGGTAAAAGTGCTATCTGCCGCTCAATAGCGCTCTCACTTACTTTCAACCGAGACTCCGTGCGAACTGTAGAAGCCTCAAACTACTCCTTCAGCTCGGATTCTGTGGAAGGAGATACGGCTCCTAATAGGCTTCACTAACGTCAAAGAACCTTGAGAATGTAAATGTGGCCGGCCAGGTCGAAATTCTAGTTGCCCCATAAATGAAATCATGTATTGCTGCTTCAGCAGGCTATTCATCGTCAGGTGAATCGATCGGAGCACACACAGACTTCGTAATGAGGCTTCTTAGATCACCCGCAGTTGGTCCTGGAGTTTCACATTCCTGTGTATAGATCAAGAGATGTATCTATAATTGACCGATGGATGCAGAAGACTTACAGCGAGCGGCCACATGGTCGGCCGGCACGATTTTGCAACCAGACATGGTGCATTTGAGATGTTCACATAGTGCACCATGCCACTCAATCTATATATCTAGCTTATCCTAAAGTAGCATCTTCCTCGTAAGAAGTGGCCGACATTGTGGACCTCGCCCGGGGCTACAATACGGGAAACTGTCGCTAAAACGTTAGTATCTTACAAAAGGGCAGGCACGGGGCAGACAGACCAATCCATGACCTTGCTCAGATCCTGCCAATCCAACACTACGGTATTGGTAGCGTGGAGGCCCCTGGTCGGCTGTTACGGGGAAAAGGGCGATCGCCTTGTAGACCCTCCGATAGGGAGTCGAGCCGTGCCCGATATTGCCAAACTGCCGAGTATAGGTAGACCACTTAGTAACTTACCGAGTGTCATTAGGGGATGTGTTGCGCTTGAGACAGCTTATCGTTCCACCAGCGCTTCAGGCTTTTCCTGAATGCGCCCAGTGCTAGGAGGCCCTGCGACATGGCAGGACTCAGGGGAGGTCTTCCTGGCACCTAGCATTTTGTATATAGACGATCAGGCCTGGCCTGAGAAGAGGCATAGGCACACAGACCAATGCATAACCTTGCTCAGATCCTGCCGAATCAACAGGATGAATATCCAGGCCCCTCAGCCCGCAAAACCGCACCCGACGACCGGGCGCCTAGTCCAGGTCGATGACGATGCACGGCGTTGCCCCGTCATCGAGGGTGACTTTTGAAATGGGAGCAGGGCAAGCCAGACGGAAAGCCACTAAGGAACGCCAGCTGGAGGCCATCAAAGCGTACAATGCGGCTGAAGGCGAAGATCTCCAGTAGAATAGAATACGAAGGCGAAGTGTCGTGACCGTTGTTTCAGGGGCGAGGATGTTAAGCATCTAATTCAACAAACTTTATGAACCCAAGCTGAAGAAACACCCCAATTGAATAAATAGACGCAGCTAACTTACGCTTTCTGAGAGGTTTTTCTTATTGTTTCCCTTTCTCTGTTTTTCTTTTTCTCTTGTTTTCTTTTTCTTTTTGGCACACAGAGATTGGCTCAGAGCTTCAGCTCGCCGTAACGTCCTCGATCCGACCATAGCACTGCTTAAGGTTTGAACCCCCGATGGCCGCACATTCTGAGTTTCGCGCAAGCGGGATGGCTCGCCGAAAAAGGCTTGTACAATAGCTGTGGCGCCAGATTCTGGAAGTGGGAAGGTAGTTTAACGCGGGCGCTTTATCGAATAACCCTACAGACCGTAGTCTAGCTGTCACTTTAAGCGGGGTTTGTAACCCGCTTACCTAACAGTGGCTTCAAGATATCCCGTAGAGCGAGTGGCTTCGAAGGGGGAGTTCCGTATAGTCAGTACTATAAGAGGCAGTACTAGTTCCTATTTCCGCCGGCCGTAGTTACTGGAAGAATGGCCGGAAGCTTCCATGTGGGATCGGAATATTGTGGAGCAAGTTTATAGCGAAGGGGGCACTTGGCATAAATCAAAGCTGCTCGGAGCTCACGTGCAACTCACCAACCGATCGTGTGTTGACTCGATGGAGGAACATGGTGAATTCTACCTACAAGTGCTTGTAGGTTCTAGGGACCGTCTGGCTATATATACCCCTTTGAGTAATTTACGAAAGGCTATCGGCGCTAGCCCGGAGGCCTTGGGCCGAAGGCCTTCCAGGGACTAGCGTGACGGTCATTACATTGCCCTGGCAACCTCGTCAGTCACACGTGCCGTTTTACAACGAGTTGGCCTTCTCCTTCACCACCGCACTCATCTCGCAACCAAGAGGAGCCGAAATCAAGTTCTGATGACAACAATCAACAGCCAAGATTCCCAGGTTGCCACCCATCTTAAAGGTGTGCATCGATAATCGACCAAGATTATTCAGATCGAAGCAAGTCTATTCGGCTCAACTTTTCTGGCTTTGACGTCGCCAAGACTCTTATCATCTTGCACGTGATGACAATAATTTTACTCACTGCTTTCAGCGGTCAGAGATACCTTTGATGATGTTTGTGGCCAAATACCGCTGTCTTTTCTGTCTCTTGAAGAACCTCCTAGATATTCCCTCCCCCCATACGTTATCGAGTTGCTGAACCATGTTGGGATTCTCTCGCTCGCAATAAAGTCCACTTCTTGCCATACAACAAATTACAACGCTGCGGCCGTTCATTCTTGTAGCAGACCCCGTCGAGCAGACAAGAAATTTTGACCAGCTTCAATGGACCAAATTGCTACACTATGGCGGCTTGGTCCCCTCAAAATATTGTGTTATCTGCTGGGGTTCCTCATCCTCTATGTGAGTCAATCCCCCTAAAGCGGCCTCAGTCTTACGTAGGCTACTCCAAAGGTTCTGTCGGTGTGCTTCTACCGGCTCACATTGCACCCGCTGGCGAGGATACCCGGCCCCTTTCTCAGTAAGTTGACAGACTGGTCCATCGTACTCCAAGCATCCAGCGGAAGTCGACACATCCTGACGTGGAAAGAGCACAAGGAGTACGGTGAGGCGAAAGCTAGTAGTCTTTGTCTTTGTCCACATCTCATGACCGCATTGACAGGGACCATCGTCCGTATCGGGCCCAACACCTTGTCATTCAACACCGCCAGTGCCCTCAAGGCCATTTACGCCAGTCGCCACGTCAACTTGCAAAAGGCCCCCTGGTACCTCACCATCGACGCCGGATCCGGGGCGGCCAGCGTGCATTCGGAAATCGACAGAGATCGACATGCCTTTCGAAGACGGGTCTTAGATCAAGCAGTCTCTGATTTGGCCGAGCAGCCTATCCTCGACAAGATCAAGACGTGGGTAGGATACCTAGGCTCCGAGTCCAAGGCCAACGAACAAGACTGGTCTGAACCGACGGATATGAAGGATTGGTGCAACTGGCTGAGTTTCGACATAATGGGCGAGCTCACATTCGGCCAGAGCTTTGGCTGTGTCGATAAGGGCGAATACAGATTTGTCTCGGATGTCGTCCTGAATGCTACTAAGTTCGTTTACGTGGTGAGTACGGGGTACAAGTCACAAGCAGGCGCCCTCACCGCCGGCCCCCGTTTACGTGCTCGGCGTTGAAAGTTACTGCTAATGGCAAGCACTGTGTTGATTTAGGCCGGCTTTTGGCCCTTCATCTCTCTGGTCCGCCCTCTCCTTGGAACCAAATGGGCGTCTTTGTTGTTTGCTAAGAAAGCTCACGAATATGAAGCGTACATCCGGTACGCCAATTCCATGATGGAGAGGCGTATCGGGGCGGAGAAGAACCCAACTCAAACACTAGACGGGACGCCCACCACGAGAAGGAAAGATTTCGTCCACCACCTCCTCCACGCGCGCGACCCGCAAACGGACAAAGGGCTTACTTTGTCCGAATTGCACGCCGATTCGGCCTTGCTCATCCACGCCGGCTCCGACACCACGGCTCTCACGCTCAGCGCGGCCATCTTTTACCTAGTGCACCACCCTCTGGTGCTGGCCACGCTGCAAGGTCTCGTGCGAACCACGTTTCCGACTCTCGATTCCATCCGCGCCGGCTCCGAGTTACTTTCGCTGCCCTACCTCCGTGCCTGTATTGACGAGACTATGCGTCTGGCCCCGCCCGTCCCCTCGCATCTCCCGCGTGAAGTCTTGGCTGGCGGGATCGAAATCGACGGATCATTTTTCCCTGAGGGTACTATCGTCGGCGTAGCGCCATGGTCCATTCACCACAACGCGGTATATTTCCCGGACCCGTTTAAGTATAATCCGGATAGATGGATGGCGGCGTCGGACGCGGACACCGACAACGGGGAAGACGGACGAAAGGCTGGAACCGTGCTCGCCCGCTCTGCATTTTGTCCTTTTGGGGTTGGCTCGCGCGGCTGCGCGGGAAAGCGTCTCGCGTATCTGGAGGTGAGCCTCGCACTCGCGACGTTCTTGTGGGTATACGATGTGAGGTTGTACAGCAGTACTGCTAGTAATACCACTCGAAGGAGTGGTCCTGGCGAGGGGAAATCTGCGAAGAAACACGCCGATGTCAGGGATCGGACGGATCTGTATCAGTTGTGGGATCACTTCGTGGCGGATCGCGAGGGGCCAGTGGTGCAATTGAAGAGGGCGAATGTTTCACTGGGAGAGACGGAGTGAAGAGGAGAGCGACAGTGGCGTAGACTAGGAGAGTGAGAGAGAAGTGCATATGGGGAGATGTTGTAGGTTACCGGTAGTAGTCCTAGGCATTTATTTAGATGACATGACACACCAATGATCCAGTTGTTCTTCTCCGGGGAGAGGATTGGTTTGAAACAGCCAATCCACCCC